CCCCTTTCCCTTTCTTTCACACTCCCAAAGCCCCTTTGATGCTCCCCACCCTGTCCCACACATGCCATTTTGTCTCCTTTCTCTGCTTGCTGGACTCTGTCAATTTTATCCATTCTCAATAAACAGACAGGAGGCGCCATCGTCAGTGTGGAGATTCCACGTGTTGAACTGTTCCAACGCATCACATTGGCTCAGAGGCTGACAGCTTGGGAACTTCCCAGCGACCCTGTTTACTAGCTAGGTAACCCTCAGAAAGTTCCTCACCCTTTTTAAATCTCACAGTCTCTGCAAGTCATGTGGGAATCATAGAAGTCCCCGATTCTTAGAATTGTTGAGAGCTGCACATCAGGCCCTAGAGACCTGGGCTTTGGTTTCCAGACTTATGTGCCATGGGTAGTGGATGTTCATAAACTTCTCTGCCTGAGTGTGATAAAATGAGAATGATAAAAATAGAATCTACCTTACTGGTGAGATTAGGGTAGTTAGCAAACCAAATCACCTGGAATAGTGCCCGGCACACAGGAGCCTTCCCCAAAAGTTGTCCATTGTGATGTTTGTTCATGTCTAGAAAGGTGCTTGCCTGGAGACACTCAAGAGCTGGCAGTCCCCCATTCTCTAGAAAACTTCATTCCCTTGCTGTTTCTCTTTAGAAACACGGGCATGACCATTCCTCCCAGGGTGTGTTTTCATAAGCACTCTTCTCTGTCCTCTGCACCAAGTGACACCCAAGCCATGGAGAAGTCTGGCCTACAAACCTACAACTGAAGAACTGAAACAGGAAGGAAATAACACGGTAATTATTATGCCTAACTGTTTTTGTAGGTGAAACAACTATGTCTTCCTCCATGGTTTGGTAAATTTTGCAAATTCCATCGTATTTCATTTCTTCCTTAAGAGTTAATGCATATAAAGAGCTTAGGACAGATGTAGGACTCTATAAGTGATAGCTCTCATTTGTTTATTCTCATAAAATTCATCTAAGCCAGGGGAGGTGGTGCATGCCTGTAAATCCCAGCAGCTCGGGAGGCCACGGGCAGGAGGATCACAAGTTCAAAGCCAGCCTTGGCAATTGAGAGAGGCCCTAAGCAACTTATCAAGACCCTGTCTCAAAATAAAAAATAAAATCAGCTAGAGATGTGGCTTAGTGGTTAGCATCTCTAGATTCAATCCCCAGTGCCCAAAGGCAAAAAAGAAAAGAAAAAAAAATGAATCAAGCCACATTATAGAGAATTTAGAAGAGAAAGAAAAGAAAAAGGGCAGATGCTTTTCCTTAAGTCTGCCACCTGTGGTCATTCTGTACTCTCACATTTTAATGCACTGCAAGAACTCACATTTTAAAAGAATTCTACTGAGGATAATTTCAGAAAGTAAAGACTTGTTCTTATATTTTCAGGCTCTTCAAGACAAGTGGGTGGGGAAGATGATCTTTGGTAATGTGAGGAAGCCCAGAGCATCAGAGCATCATCTCCTCCAATTATCTCCACATAATAATCTCAAAGCACCCCCAGCACCCCTGGAAGATATTCAGAGCCCAGTGTCCTCAGTATCAATATTTTCCAAGCAAGAAATTGCTAAGATTAATTTCCTATCAACAAACTCAAGACTAGAATATCACTCCAGACATCCCAGGAATGCTTTGGTTCCTTCTGTGGGGCATCAACAGTGCACATGTGAAGGCTAAGACTTTTTTTGTAAAAATAACAGTCACCTTGATTTGCCTTCTGTGGAAACTCTGCTTTTCATACAGTGGGCTTATTTTAAATGTGATGTATTTTATGTGATGAGTGAAACCTTAATATCTCTGTATCACTGCCCTCTCCCCCACCCACACTGAAATATTCTTTATATAAAGCCACTGAAATATTTTATTTCAGAGGAATAAAGGATATGAATACGACTAAGAAATGGGTGCAGCAGCACCTGCCTGTAATCCCAGTGAGTCAGGAGACAGAGGTGGGAGAATCACAAGTTCAGTACTACCCTGGGCAACTTAGTAAGACCCTGTCTTAAAATAAAAAGGGATATATTTAAAAAAAAAAAAAACAAGAAACAAGAATGACTAGGAAAATCTTTCAATTTAGAAAAGTAACTTAAACCCCTTAGAGTATAATGTCCTAAAGGGCAGGAGAACTCTAAAACACCAATAAAATTGTCAGCTTTTAATAATAAGCCACATTTTTCATAGCACTTTGTCATTGGCAAAACACTTTTTAACAATCATTATGTATTTATCCATTCATTTACTTGTTCTTTCAACACCAGGACCACGTTATGACTTTCAAAGGCCCTAGGCACTTTTGAATTCTTAAACCCCTTTCTCCAATAAAACACACACACACACACACACACACACACACACACACACACCACAAACATACACACATTAAAATGATTTAATAGATTCTTGTGAGCTCTAAACATTTTTTTTCTGATGTGAGGAAAAATTACAGCATTTCCCCCTGTCCTTACAGTTTATTTTGTTCTTCTAATTTTAAGATAGATTAAACATTTTGATGAGCTCCTAAAAGAATTATGGGCTCTACACATTGTGTTTGCTGTACCTACTGGATAGACAGCCCTGCTTGCCCTCCTGGACCAGGTGCAGGTGAGGGGTTAGAGAGGCTAAAGTGAAAGAGGTTCAGGAATCTCAGGAAAACAGACCTGCAAAGAAGTAACATTGTGGCCTGTAGTGGGGGCTATGACTGAGATCTGTTGCTTATCCTGCAAGAGCACAGCACGGCCAGCTCCCAACTCCGTGGAGAGGGAGGGATGCTTTATGAGAAGAGCATCTTGCAAGTGACTCTTTCAGCCAGCATCTTTCAGCCATTGGGTGTTTGTGGTTTCAGGTTTGAGAGTTTCTGGCAGGCCACTTGAGGAATTGAGAAGCAAAACAAATTTTAGAGAATTGAAACTTTTTGTTAATCTCAGTATATGGAGATGCTCAGGATTTCATATTCTGACCAGTATGTAAGATTTATTTTTGCTACAATTGCAGGTACATATTGAGACCTTTATGTCAACCAACAGCGTCCAGCTGAGTGGGCCCTGGGCTCTGGTTGGAGGAGGGTACTCTCTGGCTGAGAGTGAGGAACCAGAAGTTCAGGGCATCTAGTTGGGTTCAAAGGAGGACCACACAGATCAAAAAACGTTTTCCTCCTGATTATATAAAAGACTATAATCAAGGCAAAATATAATTTTTATCATTGCCAAAGAAAAACCAGATTAATAAGGTAATGATAATTTTGAGTCTCAGCAATGGAGGAAAAACATAGATCAAAATCTGACAACACAGTCCATTGCAATATGTTCACCACACATCAGCCCGCTGAGCAACAGCAGTCAAAATCTACTATCCTCAGGATAATAACAGCAAACACTTAGGATGTCCCAAGGACCATTCTGAGAGCTTTATATATACTTTTCATCCTCACCATGGTGTTTTTATTGTCCTCATTTTTAAAATGAAGAAACATAGACCTGGAAACTTTTGATAACCTGCTTTAGTAAGTGTCAGGACTAGAATTCAAACTTACTCCCAGGTCCAGATCTATGCTCTCCACCTCTACACTTGGCCGCCTGTGTGGAGGCTTCTTAGCCCCTTCTGCTGCCTGGTATCTGCCTCTGAACAGCCCCATATAGAAGCAACACCTCATCCAGGATTGCAGAGCAGAATAGAAACCCACTGTTTCCCCACCACCACCACCAATGCGCAACTCAGAGGTGCTTCAAAAATTGAACATCATAGAATGAATAGATCAATCCCAAGACAGCTTCCATACGACATCTCTGACAGCCAACCAGATCCAACCCATAACTAGCAGCACTGGCCATACTGCCAGATAAAATACAGAATGCTCCCAGTTAACTTTGAACTTCAGATGAACCACTAATAACTTTTAAATATAAGTATGTCCCAAATATTGCACAGTACATACTTATAGGAAAAAAAAATTCTCTTTTACATGAAATTCAAAGTCAGCAGAGAGAGTTTTGCATTTGCTAAATATGAGAACCCTAAGCAGTAGCTAACTTATCCATACATCCTGCTAGGGGTTTTGCTGGCTTCCCTGCTCAACTCCCCCATCTCTCCTCTAGGTCCTGGACATCACATGTACAAGAACTCGTATGTAAACCTTTGCCTAGTCTTGTCTTTCTGGAAACTCAGACTGCAACTGAGCAAGAACTTTGCCAGCTATTGTCACCTTCACCATGGAACCAAAATCACAAATAAGTAAATTAAGGTTCAAAGAGGTTGACCCAGTTGCCAGTACTCTCATTCAGCTGCTCAAGCTTCACCAGTCTATTACTATGAAAAAGGTTTCTGAGCTCTTCTTGAGAGACATTTAAGCATTATTAGAATGGGCATCAATTGGTTTAGACCATCACTGACTTAATAATTACCTCCATTTGTTGAAAGAACAGCCTTGTAGTTAAAAGGATAGTGTGACATACCGACTGAGATAATCAGTCTCAAAATAGCTGCAACATCAAGATGCCCAGTATCTCCTGTTTTATGCTAGTCAGAATGGTCAAAATTAAAATATAAAGTTTTCAACCTCAGTTCTTTACAAGAAAAACGACGACTTGCTATTATTTTTATATATAACTAAATATATATTCATTCCACAAGGGATGACTAATTGTAAAGAGAGGCATTCAGAAAGCCTTGAAAGTTGCCTTTGACCTGCATCAGAAATTTGGTTACCTTTCCCCTGCATCTCCCTGTAGGTTAGACTCCCAAGAAGCCAAAATAATGCATACCACCAGGTGGGACAATTAGAAAATTAGAAAAAAACAGGGCTAAAGTTCTCAGACCCAGTGGGTGTATGCAGGAATGAAACTTCTCCAAAACCAAAGCACACCTTGCTTGCAAATAAGCCTAAAATGAGAAAGAAACTCTCCTTTGCTTCTGAAAAATGAAGACTGTACCTATTAAAAAAGCCTTTGCTCTATGTCAACTCTCTGAAATAGAACCTCTTTTTGTTCCCTTTGTCTGCTAGTATCTTCATTGTGAAGGAAGGAAGCTACAGGAATGAACCACCTTGGGGTAAGTAAACCCTTCTGCAGGGTGTCCCTGGACATGCTTCTGAAGGCCACCTCTGTGGCTCCCTCCAGCGAGGCCTTACAGCAGTCCAGGGAAGCAGACAGATTAGAGGGCAAGCTCCGGTTACCTATGGCTGCCTGCCCAGTCCCCTGGGTATTTCAAGGCCCCACCTTCCACCTGGACCGTGACCTCTGACCCCAGCCCTGTGGCCAACATGGTTGGGGGCAGGGGCTAGGTATCAGGCTGCAGGCCCTGGGCCACAAATGAAAGAGCCAGTTGTTTCCATGCCTCAAGCTCTCTTGTGAGGCCCTGGGAGCTGCAGAACTGGTATTTCTCCAAATCCTGGCTGTCACGTGGCTGTGTAGACAAGCTGTACCCGACAGTTGGACATGTGTATGTGTGTTGCAGGGAGTCGCAGTCTAGCTTCCAGTCCCAGTTCTGCCGCGGCCTGGCTCCGGGACTTCAATGAGTCTCTTTGTTTCTCTGGAGCCTCGCTTTTTCCTGTCTGTGAAATGGAATGGTCGGATCCTGAGGGCGCCTGGGGAAAGCTGGGGTGAAGTGAGGGGAGGCAGTGCTGGGTAGGCAGGTCCCCGCCATCCTCTTCAATCCCCTTCACTATCCAAAGTCAACGGAAACGACTCGACTTTTTACCTGTCTAATATTTAGGGTTGTTTTTTTTTTTTTTTGAAGGTTTCTGTTGGCTTCTAAAAACCACTAGACTAGCCTATCTCCAAATGACCTTCCAAATATAAAACCAAACTTCAGATTTGGCCTTTTTAAAGGATAATGTGTGATCATTACACACTATATACATGCATTGAAGTATCAAATTATACCCCATAGGTTTATACAATAAAAATAATATATTTTAAATGAATTGCACGTTGAGAGGGTGGGAAAATTTGATATATTTCTGAAACT